ATTCCTCTTTATTTTATAAAAGGTATTGAAATTTATATACATTTATTTTACAATTAAATTCAACTATTTTTTTATTTTAATTCGATAATTTCTCAATTCAAAAAATCTAATAATCTTAAAAATTTAAAACAATAAAATGTTTGCTGAAGTTTGAAACAAAACAGATGAATTTTACATGTATAAATTGGAAATATCATAATAAATTTGTTTTCAATTTTGAAAAATTTCATAAATTTTTTAAATCTTTATAATTTATTATGTTATTCCATAATGAACTTTTTTCTAACATTAAAATAATATTAAATTTTAAAAAATTTTTTTAAATTTAATTCTTTTGACAACAATTCTTTTAAAAATAATTATATGGGTTTATCCATTTTTGTTTAATAATAATAAAATGTTAATGTATTTTTCAAAAACCAATCAAATATCATTTTGATATTTTTGCATTATATCAAGTTTTAAGAATATAGTAATTAGGGTCTGCAAAATCTTTGACTGTTATCAATGATAATATTCTGATTTTTGAATCTGCATTTATCTCCATTTAATCTACTCTTTTTTTTTTTTTTTTTTTAAATTTACTTTTTATCAAATAAAATTTGATGAGGCTGGAGCAAATTTTCTAATTCGAAAAAGCGTCCCAGAGAAAAAAAAAGTGTGGATACTTCTCAGCTACACTCAGATTCCTATAATCAGTGACAAGCCGTGTTAAAGAAAAAAAAACGTCCTTTTAACACTCCATATTTGCCAAATCTTCTGTATTTTTCTGCTTTTTAATTCCGCCATTAGTATTATTATTTATTTTAATCTTTTAACAGATTTTTAATTTTAAGAAATAAAATTAGAAAAGAATGTAATTGTTCTTCTCTGAAAAAAATGTCCATTTTAAAATCAAAAATAAAATAGTAATCTTAGCAGAAGAAATAGATTCAGGGGAGAAAAAAGCTAGGATGGGTTTTACAACCTCAATGTCAAAAAAAATTATTATAGTAATTGATTATTATTCGGTAGCAACAAGTGTTAACTTTTGCTCGAGGTAATCTCTCAGAAACTGACAAATATCACGCCTTGTTTGATTCAACGATTCGTTTTCGACGGTTTATCAACCCTTTGCAGGTTATTTAAAGCCAGAAAATATATAGTAAGATATTTTTAGAAAGATAATAATGATTTAGTGATAGAAGTCTCACTAATTAACCCATAGCTGGGGGAGAAGATTTGGATTCATACGCAATCAGAATTTAATAAACGAATTATAATGTGGTTATAAAGTGGGGAATCAAATCTATATTACAATCAATGTATAAACTGATCCCTCACTTCGTAGCCATAAATTAGGATTTCATAACTTATATATATAGAACTAGTTAAGAATACATCCAGAAGTTGCTTGATTGATCGATTGATCCGTTTTCGATCGTTTATCAACCCTGTTCAGGTTATTTAAAGCCAGAAAATATTTTTAGATTGCAAAAATTTTTCTTTTAGAGATAATTATGATTTTAGTGATACAAGTCTTACTAATTAACCCATAGATGGGGAGGAGGAGTGGTGGATTCATACTCTTCTTCAAGGGTATTTGCGCGTCAGCGAATATAACGAATTCGAACTCGGCTCCTCGATTAACAATTTCGATCCATTATTCATGACACCACCCGCACATCCAAGCTTACAATCCCTAGTATACCCGAGCAGTCAGCCATCTAGTTACTAACAAGGCTTGGCGTTGCTTAACGTCGGTTATCATCCAATGTTTTAAAGTGATGTAACAGTAATCTCATTATACCTGACCTGCATCTAATTAAACGGCACCTGGTATTCGCAATTGGTCAAAAATCTAGGTTTTGACCAGGCTCGACGTTTGTTTACATTTCATTTCGCATGGGAAATGGTGTTTCAAACTGATTTGGCCTTTAGCCCAGGATTATAAGATTCAGAAAATGTTTCTCTCGTCCAGAAATTATTAAAACACCATCATTTGTTTCCTCTCATTAGTATTTTTTATCGGCATCATAAAACCAGTTTACGAACCAGTAACAAACTTTTACCAAAACAATTTTGATATGCTTTTGAATATTTAGTGTACAGGCGGGCAATGGAAACTTTTTCACTGTGAAAGAGGGCAATGACGCCAAAAAGGTTGGGAACGCTCATCTAGTACAAATGAGAAAAAGGAGAGATATTTTGTGGTTTTTAAGGATGGGGTCCAGTATAACAAAAAAGGGTTCTCAATCTGGAATTGTGGAGATAAATGACTAGGTGAACAGTCGGGCAGCACGACCCGACGACGACACCTGGTCATGGGATTGACGATGGTGATGAAGCTTAACTTGTTTTCTCGTTTCTTTTCCTTTTCATTATCTATATATATATATATATATATATATATATATATATATATATATATATATATATATATATAGTTTTATAAAAACAAGGAATGTATTGATTTTAATTTTAAAAGTCCCTAAGGCCCTTTCAGCCAACATTTCATCAGGAGACAATCGTTGGATCAACGAAAAGAATATTAACGACAATGAAAGCTCAAAAAAAAAGAAAACACAAAAAAACAACAAACAAGTATATATACTTGTAACGAGGGAGAGGAAATATATGTAAATAAATTAGCGAGGGACAGTTAAAATAAAATATCCCCAACAGATTAAGAGACCTTTACAAATTCTTTCTGCCGGCAGAGAGGTTTTCTAAATCCTATACAGACCGATTCAAAAAATCTTCAAATGATTATTGGAATCGGCTGTATGAATAATTCTAAACCACTCTTTTTTTATACAACTTGGCACAGGCTATATTCTCAACTAAATGTTGAGCAATAGCCGATTCCATATTCATGGGGAAGATAGCATATTCTATCTATCTTACCAAGTCGTATTTTGGAAGGAACGTGCTGATTAATTCTAGTTTCCAAATGCAAGGTTGCACGCCCCATCACATAACCAGCAGCACACTGGCAATTAAATTCATATACTTTTACTCAATTTGATGTAGGGCAATACATCCTTGCGAAAAGACGGAAACGCAGACCTAGTTTGAAAAATGCTACGTAAAGCAACTGATGGGAAACAACCGGAAACCGACTTGCTAACCCATATTAATTTAAGCCCTTGACTACTATCCCCAATCCAGGGAATCTTCAAATAAACCGGACATTTAGAAGGCCCCTGGATTTTAGGGGAATAAATTCCTTAGTCTTCTTACTAATAATATAGTCAATAAGGGCCTCCGGATAGCCGTTACTAAGGAAAATCTCCCTAATGTTCCCAAATTCACGGTCCAATCTAATAAAGAACACACTTTAAGCAGCTCTATACATTAAGGTTTTAACGAGATTAATTTTCCTTGATGCAGGAGCAAATGAACGGTAATTCAAATAAAGCCACAGGTAAAGGTGGGTTTACGATAAATTTATAGTAATAAAATATTAATAATATTAGAAAATATTTTAATAATGTCCCTCGCTAATTAATTTATTTTACGATAACCCTTCCCTCATTACAAGTATATATACTTGTTCGTTATTTTAGTGTGTTTCCCCCTCTTTTTGCTCTTCAATATCGCTATTATTCATAATCCAACGTTTGTCTCTGATGAGATGTTGCTGAAAGATATCTCTAGAACTTTTAATATTAAAATCAATGGTTTCCTTTGAATTTATTTATAAATTTTGTACCTCAAACATTTTATATATATATATATATATATATATATATATATATATACATATTATATATATATATATATATATATATATATATATATATATATATATATATATATATATACTTTGAAGACAAAAGTCCGACAATTATTTTAAGACATTTTTATGTTTATATGACGTTTTTTTATACAAATATGTAAGTAAATGCACGTAGGTGAGTAATGGATAGAAGCTTGGATTGAGGAATCAGAGAGCGAGTTTGAATCCAGTCAGAATCCATTACATACTAACATGCTAATACCCTTGGGAAAAGGTATGAATCCTCTTCTTCTCCCTCCAGCTATGGGTAAAATAGCAGAACAGACTGGGTTCTATAGCCTTGGATGGCAACTGGTCTGGGAGAAGGACAACTCTGAATTCAAAACCTGCGCAGGGTCATTTGGGGACCTTGTAAACGTGGTATCAGGTCTCTGTAATCAACCCTTCAAAAAAGTGTGTATGGTAAATTACGAAACCTTCACCAATATAATCAAATCTCATTTGCTATACATGCGGCTTGAGGGACCCATCCTTTTGTGAATTTCAATTCCCATGAAACTTCAATGTGGAGCCGGCTTAACCCACCCCAGGTGAATGCCGTTAAAAAAGAATATATATATATATATATATATATATATATAAATAAAATAAGTGTGTGTGTGTGTGTATCGTTTTAGCTGTGTCTTAAAACCCAGTAATTTTAAAAGTTACTCCAAAATTCGCTTGAGGATGAAATGGAACTAATGTCTTTAATTTAATTGCAAAATTAAATTCGTGGCAATTTTAGCTTCCATTTTTGAAACATGGTTAGAACTGTGTAGTGAAAAAAAACATATTTTAAATCAATTAATTTTATATTAATGCTCTGTAAATTTACATTGAGCACTATTTTATAAAAAAAATAAAAATATCTATAAGAACACTGGATTATATATCTTACTGTTCTTTCTTTTATATATATATATATATATATATATATATATATATATATCTATCTATCTCAGTCATTATCTATCATAACGTGAATTAGTGGGAGGCATAGCGGGAGGAAAGTGCAAATTAAAGAGTGAGAGAAGGAGAAGAGGAAAGACAATAATAAAGTGAATTAAAAACAAACAGAAGAAAGAGAGGAGAGGAGAAGGAAAGGACAAAAGAGAGAATGAGAGAAAAACTTGAATTAAAGGGAGAGATAGGAAAGAAAGAAAGACAGAGGTGGAAAGACAGAGAGAATAATAAGAGGTGGGGTGGGGGAAGAGAGGAGATGGGTGTAGAGAAAAGGTTATAACAAGCACTCAATAGAGACAGGGTGAAGAGAGGCAGTAATGTCGAGAATTAAAGAGAGAGAGAGAGAGAAGAGAAACGAGGAGAGACAGTAATTACCTGAATTAGAGAGAGAGACACACACACATAGAGAAAGAGCTAAAGAGAAGAGAAAAAAGAGACATAGGGTGAAAAAGTGAGTAGAGCAGAGAGAGAGAGAGAGAGAGAGAGTAATGACGTGAATTAAAGAGAGAGTGATAGAGAGAGAAGAGAAACGGGGAGAGACAGTAATTACCTGAATTAGAGAGAGAGACACACAGATAGAGAAAGAGCTAAAGATAAGAAAGACATAGGGTGAAAAAGAGAGTAGAGCAGAGAGAGAGAGAGAGAGAGTAATGACGTGAATTAAAGAGAGAGATGGGGAGAGAGAGAAGTGGAAAGGAGAAAGATAGCAATTAGCTGTATTATCTCGCACACACATTGGTAAATTCTAATGCAAGAGAGAAGTGAAACATTGGTTTTAATTCTGAGGAGTAAAAGATAGACAGTAAGGACGTGAATTAAAGAGAAAAGAGAGAAGAGGAAAAGAGAGAGACAGTAATTAACGAGATTGACCTTTGGAGAAACAGCGCGAGAAAAGAAAGCGAGATAAAGTAATAATTTAAGCGAGAACTAGAGAGAGAGAGCAGGAAGAAAGAGACAGTAATAACCAGAATTAGAGAGAGACGTAAGGAGCGCGAACAGAGGAATTGAGAGAGACTTTCCGTATCGGTTTTCATAAATTGATTTAAAGAAATATAAAGAGAGAGAAAGAGAGTAGAGGAATTGAGAGACTTTTTCTTTGTCCCCCTCTCTCCCATTGTCGCTCTTTAAATCAAGTATACATATATTATCATGAATTGTTTTAATATAAAGAGAAAGATAGAGAGAAAAGGCGAGAGATTGTAATAATGTGAAGTAATGAGACGTAAGGAGAGAAAGAGAAGAGGAAAAGAGAGACTGTAATAAAGTGTAGTAAAGAAAAATAAGGAGAGAGAGAGAAAAGAAAAAAGAGAGAGTAAGTTAAAGGGAGATATAGAGAGAAAGAGAAGAGAAGGAGGGAGACAGTAATAAGTTTGATTTAACAGATACACAGGTAAATAAAAGAAAAAAAAACGGAGTTAAAGAGTAAGAAAGAGAAATGAGAGACAGTAATAACTTAATTTAAGAGCGACACAGGAAAAGAAAAAGAGAGAGAGTAAGTTAAAGGGAGACAGAGTAAGATAGGGAGAGAAGAGGAAAGGACAAAGACAATAATCACGTGAATTGAAAAGAGACATGGGGAAAAGACATGGAAGTGGGAAGGAGAGAGACTATAATAACACGAATTAAAGAAATATAAGAGTGTGTGTGTGTGTGTGTGTGATAGATAGATAGATAGATAGGTGGTGGGGAAGATGAAAAATGAACATTTCGGAGCTGGGGACTGAGTTAATGTTTTTTTGGCGGGGGGTGGGGTAGATAAAAGAATGCCATCCCCTAAAAACAAAGTTTTATTGCTTTCAATGAAGATAACGAGGAAGATAACGAAACAGCACCGTTACCAGGCTTGTTTGATCTTGTTTGATAAGATTTCTCGATCCCATCTCCGAGGTGGGGTGAAGGTGGCGATAGGAGGAGACGTAAGATAGCCAACCTCGTTAACAATTTATGTAAGTATTAATTCAAATTTATCTTTATACTCCAAATCAGCGGCACCTTTATTTTTTTTTTTTTAGTAAGTACAGCTGACTGTAATTACAGTTAGTGCTACGAGTTTTACTTTTAGTAACTAAGATAGAGAATGAAAGTGCGAAGAAAGGACTAAGCATCAATTTTAAGAAGACGGGATGAATGGTCGTTAGAGAAACGAACGGATTGACATGCGAATTACAAATTAGAGATATCAAAATGAAATAAGTACAAATATTTAAATATCTAGAAACTGTTTTACAGAGGACGTCAAATGTGACACTGAAATCCGAAGGAGTTTTGGGAAAGATGCCTTCCGAAAGTTAAGCAAAATATTAAGAAAAAGAAAAAAAATCTGTCCATATTTCTGAGAAATTTATTATGTACACTATTTACATTATTCAGACTATTGTCCTAATCTTTGTCGCCATATTTAAAAATTAATTTTTTTCGGCCTTTCAGTATCTGTCTATATTTCTGAGATGAGGGTATTATGTACACTATTTACATTATTCGGACTATTGTCCTCAATAAGGATCTGTTTGTCGTATCTGTCTATATTTCATTATGTACACTTACATTATTCGGACTATTGTCCTCATCTTTGCAATATTTATTTATAACAGAATCCGTCTACACTATTTACATTATTCGGACTATTTCCTTCTTTGTCGCCATATTTATTTATTTGGGCCGTTTTACGCTATGGCTCCTTACGTTTCGGCCGTTATGCTCCGGCCTTCTTCAGGTGATTCAACCACCTGAATTTATTTTGCTATTACACAACCAGGTTTTTATTCCATATGCCATATCCAGGATGAAACAATATCTATCTAAAAGGCCAATATAACTGAACAAGGTGAGTTCACCAACGATGAATTGTGACGACAGATGTTAGAACAAAGACAAAAAGTAATGATAACGTATCAAAAGTTACTTAAAGAAACAAAAGACAGGAAGCTGTGGAGAGCCATGATCGCCCATATCCTGAAGTGACATGGCACATAAAACAAGTTAATCGATGGTTGAATAAAACAAAGTTGGATGGCAGAGTGTCAACACTTAATTAGAGTAACAAGAGACGGGAAGTTGTGGAGAGCCGTGATCATCCACATATGTAACTTGGCATATAAAAGAAGTGTGAATGAAAAGGAGAAGAAAAACTAAATGTGTTGGTAGACAGTCAAAATTTACTGAAATAAAAAAATAGGAAGCTGTGTAGGGCCATGATCGTCCACGTGATGAAGTGATATCGTACATAAAAGAAGTGAACGGATGGCTGAACAAAGATTAAGTGGGTTGATAGAGAGTTAAAATTATTTAGAGCAACAAAAGACAGGAAGCTGTGGAGGGCTTCGATCTTCCACATCCTGAAGGGACATGGCTCATAAAAGAAGTGAATGAGTAGCAAAACAAAGTTGGCTGGTAAAGAGTTAATTATTACTTAGAGCTGCTAAAATCAGGAAGTTGTGGAGAGCCTTAATCGTCCCCTTTCTGAAAAGACATAAAATATAAAACAAGAGCTGAATATGAAGTGCGTAAAAAAAAAGTTTTAAGGTTCTAACCCTGCACACGCCACAACATAATCATCATTATTTTATATTGATCTTGTAGTAATCAGGAAGTTGTGGAGAGCCTTAATCGTCCCCTTTCTAAAAAGACATGAAATATAAAAGAACTGAATATGAAATGCGTAAAAAAAAGGGACTTTTCCGTGTCTGATAAGAACATCATCCAAATTTTTTTTTGAACCAATAGTTAACAAGTATTTAAATGTGTGTCGGGGGGGGTTATTCAATCAAAATCTTACAGGCCATAGATCGTAACTCTTGTGGGTCGTCACTAATAAGAAAGAACTAAAATAGTGAAATAAAAATGCCATATAAATAAATGAACATTATAAGCAACGTGTTTTCTAATAGGGCGTCCCAAAAAAGAAACCTGTGTGAACAACACTGGGGGTCCAGACAAATAACGCCATCTCCCCAAATTTTATAGCAGTCAGGATCAGGGCTACTTAAACTCTCTTATGTAGCATACCGACGGTTTTTTTTCAAGGTGCGTGGGACCAGCGAAAGAAGCTTTTAAATCCATCTGGGCCGTTTGCTCCCATCTCCCTTTTTTTTTCTTTTTTTTCTCAAGATATGTCTTATTTCATGGTCATTTGAAATTATCTGAACGAAACACGAGGACATGCCATTCTAAGGCGAGTCATCATTGACATAACAAGTCTTCCTGTGTGTCAGGAACGGTAATATATTTGTCATATAATTATACAATAATGATCTGAGAAAATATTATTTGAATATTCGTCGTATTATTCATTTATATGAGAAAAAAATATAATGAATGTAATAAAAGTTGCATTATTTTTTATTTTATATTGATTTTGTAGAAATATATATCCAAGAAAATGGCCTTTTGGTATTTCCTAGGTGTGCTTCCCACAAAATCCCATGCTACATCATCAATAATGGCGTTGACATACGTATTTTATGTCACTGTTCTGCTATTATTAGGTTGGTGCAAAAATAATGACGTTTTTTGACGTATTTTTCAACGTCAAAAAACGATATTATTACGTCATTATTTTTGCACCAACCTAATAATTATATTGCATTTGTTACTTTTAACATGAATCCAATTGAAAAAATTTAATCATAATAAATGTAAAACTAAAATAAAAAATAAAAAAAGGACAGTCAGATATCCCAGAAGTCTCCTATGGCATGGAATGTGACTACTGTAAATTTTTTGTTTTTTTGTTTTTTGTTTTTTTTGCTTCACTTTTTGCTTTTTTAGATTCTTAAGATGACTAAAGTCTGATCCTGAAAAAGAAAATAAACAACAGATTATGCATTCTATTTAACTACAACTTGTTCTATTATGTATAATTGTTTCAATTTTTATTTCGTATCATAATTTTGAGACTAGTCATTAGTATATCCGATATTGATTGGATACTAAAATCTCTTCTTGGTACTGTAAAATATTCTCTTCATATAAATCCATCCTAAAAATCTTGTCGGCATTAAATAACCCATTGAGGTTGATATGTCATAAAAGAAAATAAACCAAACCAAACCCATTGTACCAGGGACAGGTATTAGTTATATTTGTGCTAATTCTTTTACACATTAACCACACATAAAGATCAGTCGTTACAAATTTGCGTTGAAACATGAAAATCTGCCCAGCATATAGATTATCAATCAGAAGGAATTAAATGCTATTTTAAAAAAATTTGAATAAAAATCCACATGATTATTGTTTTTAACCATCAGTCTATAAATTTTTCTAAATATCAAATCAGAAATAGATGTCCATGAAAATATCCGTTTGATATTCGCAAGTGTGGTTCACACTGACACACGCTACATCATGATGGTGCTAACATACGTATTTTCATTTCACTGTTTTGCTTTTCATTATATCGCATTCGTTTGTTGTATAGCAATGACTTTTAACATGAGGGAGTAAATGAAAAATGTAAGCATAATAAATATAAAACTAAAATGAAAATGTTCAGTTTTATATTGATTTTGTAGAAATATCATGAAAACAAAACACGCCACAAGCAATTTACTTATCACCAGCAATGACTGCCAGAAAAAATACATTGGAGAAACATCAAGAGGTTTAAACAAAAGATTATATGAACACAAAAGGAACATTTTAAAAAACAACCCATTAAACGCATTAGATGCTCACCGTAACACAATTTTGTTTAAAAAATGTTCTATTAAAATAGAATACAATTCACTGTGACGAAAGTGCTCTAATCGCTCGTTTATCCACAGTAAGTTTGCGTCCTGGGTCTCACAACGTTTCACCATTCGTGAGAGAGCTTCTGTTATCACAATATGGGATATTTCATATCAACTGATTGATCACCCTCCCTATTCTCCTGATTACCATCTGTTCTCCAACATGAAAAAAAAAATAAAAAAATAACTGGCAACCAGTGGTGATGACGTCATATCTGCAGTTGATTTTTTTTTTAACCAACAGGATGAAAGCTTCTTCACCAATGGGATTCAAGCACGACAACGCCAATGGAAGAAGTGTGTCAACTGCATGGCGGTGGGAGGTCTATGTTGAAAAAACCTCATTTGGTTACATTCGGTCAGAATATTTTGGTCAGCCTGTGAACTTTTCAGACGACTCTTATAATTCTCTCAAACTGGTTCCTTTTCCTGTAAAGGTGAATAAATCTGAAGGGTCATCTAACAAAGTTGTTCTCAACCGGGGTCTGGGGAGGGCATGTAACATTATTTGGGGTCCACACACACAAAAAAAAATTAGAAAATGAGATTAAGCGATGTGAGTTCGTGTCCCGTTTTTAAAACTATCAGATGTTTGATTGCCAAAAATGGAATAAAAACTTAGGATATATAATGGAAGGATTATATATATATATATATATATATATATATATATATATATATATATATAATATATAAAAATTAATTGATTGAAAAAATATGTTTTTTTCGCTAAACAGTTCTAACCATGTTTCAAAAATATCTATAAGAACACCGGTTATATATCTTACTGTTCTTTATATACATACATACATACATACATACATATATATATATATATATATATATATATATATATATATATATATATATATATATATATATATATATATAATATACTAGTCATAAGTTCATTTTTTAGAATGCAAATATTTAAGTAAATGTACACGGATTATATATTCGAACTGTTCTTTCTTTTTATTTATATACATATATATATATATATTAAGACATTTTATGTTTATACATTCTTTTATACATACAAATATTTAAGTAAATGCTCTGTTTATAATAAACAGTATTACACAACATTTAATTTAAGGATAATGGAGTTCGATTTTAACGAATATTTTCTATGAAAATTTCTGGACATTCAGGCCGGTAAATGTACTTTAATATTTATAAACATATATTTAAATATTTAAAATGTCTGAGAAATTTTTATACGGAACCGTCATTTAGCCTGACGTGCCTTTAACCGATTCGGCCACAGAGGAGCGTTCGGTTAGCAAGGTGGAATTTACTGTATTTAAACTTCAATCTTCCATGAATCTCTCACGTACATTCATATCTGCTCATGGCGTATCAAATGTAAACAAATGACGTCACACATTATGAAATGGACAAAAGTCCGACAATTATTTTAAGACATTTTATATTTATACTTTCTTTTTATAGATACAAATATTTAAGTAAATGCTCTGTTTATAATACACAGTTTAATTCATTTTAAAAGAATATATTTTTCTATGAAAATTTTATCAGACATTATATATATATAAATGTCGTTATATATATTTATTATAAACAGGCATTTACTTTAAATATTTTTATCTATAAAAAGAATGTATAAACATAAAAATGTCTTAAAATAATATTTCGGATAGACACCATTTAATAAATATATATATATATATATATATATATATATATATATATATATATTATATATATATATAATAATATATATAAAATATCATTAAATCTCTCAAAGAATACAATTCAAAAAAAAGATCAATACAAAATTTTATAAAATAAGTGTTTTAGTGTGAAAATGTATTTAATAAAAATATTTTATGGAATTGTTCGTATATAAAGGTTTTAATTTTTAAACTAAAATCTAAATTCTTTTAAAATATGATACCTAATTGGAAAGAAACATGGAAAAAATACACTTGGCTAAAGAATAAAATCTAAAAAACTGATGAGAACGTCATATCTGCTGTTGATGGAATTTTGCAACATCAATGGAATTTTGAATTCGACCGGAAGGGAATATGAAAAAATAAACATTTGAACACATTTCATATAAACCATCTTGGTTATTCAATGAACTATTTTCAACAAACCTCATATAAAAGAAAATTTATATAACGGGAATTTATCATCCATCGACCGAGCAGACTGTGCTAACGTCGTTTGAAATTTATATAGTTTTCTCTGAAAACAATTTTTCAGGAAAATATGTTTCTCAAGGGCATTAGCTTTTATTCCGTTTTCAATAAAATAAATAAATGACATATCATTTTAATCCTATTATTCAAAAAGATCGATTGATTTTTTAATTGTTTTTTTTGTTATTGGGAAATGTTTTTTTAAATCCTTTATGGAACCATGAAAATTGAATTTTTTATGCTAATTTTTTTTTTAAACGATTTTTCAAACGGTATGTTTACAAAATAAATATACAATTTTATAGTTAATTTTTCAAATTTGTTTACTTATTAATTGGAACCCTTTAATTTAATATAAAAAAAACCATAGCAAAAATATAAATTGATTTTAGAATCTGTCATTATACATTTAAATTTTTAAAAATAAATTTTGGCTTTCCACAAATTCTCCAGAAATCTGTTGGAAAAATTTTTAAAATAAGAAAGCTAACTGTTAGCATAGAACTTTCGGCTAAATCAATAGATTCAAAAACGTTTTTTATCCACTGGGTCGTGTGTCCTCAAAGGTTTAAAAAATATTTAACTAAATCAAGGTGAACAAAAACTTGGAAATTAAAAACCTATAAAATTTTCTGAATATCAGGACGTGTCAGGCACGTGGAAAAAACAGTTTATTAAAACTAAAAACTTGTTTTCAAAAATGATAATCACCTGAAGAAGGTTTAAAATAAAACGGTCGGAATATCCTGAAAAGGTTTCAACAATGAGAAAACTACAACAGTAAATTCCTCGTAATATAAAATTGTAAATAATTACAATACCTCATCAAAAAAATATAGACATATGCTGAAAAATATGATGTATAACGGCTGAAAAATCCGTCAAAAAGCAACAAAGATCCTGATGAACAACATTCCCAAAGTGTTTAAATTTTAAATCTTTAATACTTTTAATCTCATACCAAGACATATGCTTCAAGAAAGAATCTGAAAAATTACAACGGCTGAAATTGAAGTCAATTTGACAATAAAGATAGGGACAACACCCGCGCAATGTAAATAGTCAAAATAATTACAATACCTCATTCAAAACAATAGAACATATACTGATAAGGCCGGATGATTTACAATAATGAAATTTCATGAACAAATAAAAATAATGTCTCTACAGGTTTCGTGATAATAAATTAAATCCCTTTCCCACAGATGAAACATCACATTAATTTTTTCGTTCATTTTTTCTGCTTTACAAAGAAAACATTCCTTGTGGCAAATTGCAAAAATATAAATATATCACGGACAAGATACAATTAGGAGATATGCCATACAATAGATTTCGAACCGCTTTCAGTCAATATTTGTTTTTCCAAAAAATTGAAATATAAACATTATTCCACTAGCATCTGATTTTATAAAAACCACTGCTTTGTGGAAAAAAATGAATTTTTTGCAATTCGATTATACGAATTTTAATCTGTTCATTAGAGGGTAAAGCACTATTTTTACGTCAAATATCCAGTATAAAATGACCTTTAATTTTAAGCCTCTACTAAAATAAAATCTTCTCTCTATAAAAGTACAAAAATGGTAAACATCATTATTATAATTTTCTATTGTTTTTTCTAATATTTTTTTCGTTAATTTTAACATACCTTTATTTTCTCTTCTTTTTATTTCTTTTTATTTATATTTATGGATTTTTTTTTTTTCATTCTTTTTTTCTTTATATTTTTTCTTTTTTTTCTACTTTTTTTTTTCTTTGTTTCTTTCATTATTTCTTATTTTTCATTCATTTTCCAATTTTTTTGTCGTAATTTATTTTTTCTTTTTCTTCTTTCATTTTGTTTCGTTTCATTTTGTCTTTCATTTTGATTCTTTCTTTTATTTCTGTCTTCTTTTTAGTTTTTTTTTATTTCTTTCTCAAAGTTTTAGTTTTATTTTTTCTCTTCTTTCTTCCTTACTTTCTTTCTTTCTTTTTTCTTGTTTTTCAATTTTCTTTTGCCTGGAAATTCATTTTTTCTTTCTATCTTTCTTTATTTCTTTTTCTTTTCAAAATTTTGCCTAAATTCATTCAAAAATTCAATTTCTTTTTTTTTTTCTTTCTTTTTTCCCGTTCTGGGATTATAAAAAAAAGAAAATTTGTTCTTTTTTTCTTTCTTTCTTTTTTCTTTCTTTTTTTTTTCATTTTTCTAATATTTTCTCAATTTTGAATTTTTTCTTCGAATTTTTTCCCAAATTTTTTCAGTTCTTTTTTCTTTTCTTTCTTTTCCCGTTCTTCCAATTTCTTTATTTTTTTTTATTTTTTCTTTCTTTCTTTCTTTATTTCATTTCTTCAATTTTTTTATTATTACAAATTCAAATTTTCTTTCTTT